AACAAAATACTATCTCAGTTCAAAATTTCGGCAAAACCTCCCCTGCACGATGAGGTATCCAAAACCTGCAAAAAAACATACGGCATGATGGCCGACAACCACATATACATATGCATTCAATTCAACATATCATTGCCAAGTCACATTCATCCACCACCGCCGCCGCCACTGCCACTCTACTCTTCTACTACTACAACCACCACCACCACCGCCACTCTACTCTTCTACTACTACAACCACCACCACCACCACCTATTACTACTACTACCACCACAACCACCTACTGTACTACTACTACTACCACCACAACCACCTACTACTACTACTCTACCGAACTCTACTTCTACTAAAACATACTACCACTGCTACTCTACTACTCACCTATGGTGTCGGGGGCGTCGGGGGCGGTCACCGAGGCGCGAGACGGAGGAGAGGAGAGGATGGTGGTGGTCGTGGGGCGCCGAGGATTTGGCAGGTCAGGCGAGGGGCGCGGCGTGTGGCTGGCGGCGTTGTGTGTTGGGGCGGCGTGGTGCGCCATGTGGCGGCAATGTGTGGGCGGCACCTGTGCGGGGCACGCCAGGCGGCAGCGGCGGCGCCGGGTGGGCGCTGCGCGTGCGCGGCAGGGGTGGGGCGTGGTACGGGGCGGGGCGGCGGCGGCGCGGCACGCCGACGCTGGGCGGGCGGGCGCACAGGCGGGTGAGGCGGGGCGGGGAGGGAGGCGCGGGCGCAACGCTGGGCGGGCGGACGGCGGCGCGTGTGTGCATGTGTGGGAGGAAGGGAGGTAACGGTTGGGTGAAGTGTGGATGGGCCGTTTGCCGAGTGCCCCGATCTGGCACTCGGCAAAGGGGCCTGTGTGCCGAGTGGCAGATCGGGGCACTCGGCAAACGTGTTTTCCTTTTTTTTTGAAATCTAAACCCTAAACGGCACTGCATCGTTTTTTTTAAAATACCACTTTGCCGAGTGCCGGGCGGAGAGGCACTCGGCAAACATTTTTAAAAAAATTTGGCATGCTCTTTGCCGAGTGCCTGGCAGCTGGCACTCGGCAAAGAGCATATTTGCCGAGTGTCAAAAGATGACACTCGGGAAACCAATTTTTTTATATATTTTGACCTCCAAACTTTTTTAGTCCTCTTACAGTACTTGGTACTCCATGTCGAAATTTGGTACATTTCCCGAACTGTTTGCTATATTTAGTTAATTTATTTTATTTAATTGAATTTTTTTTGGAAAATACAAATTTGAACTGCACGTGCATCGAATAATGGAATTTAATGATTCAAAAAATGATATTCATGGTATTGAGTGTAGTGTGAGGCCGTATTCAGGAACGGACACGAAATTTCGAACATCTTATTCACGAAACATGACCACGAACTTGCGGACGAATTATTTTTAAATTCTATAAAATACAAACGAAGTCCAAAAATCATGAGACTTGTCGAGATATCATGATATCGTATGTGGAGGATGCGATAAAAATTTGAGAAGGTTTGGTGCATGTTATCACGTACGATGCTTATAAACCAGGATATTTTTTTCTTGGTTTGTAAGCATCGTACGTGGTAACGTGCACCAAATATCCTGGTTTGTAAGTATCGTATATGATAACGTGCACCAAACCTTCTCAAATTTTTATCACATCCTCCACATACGATATCATGACATCTCGACAAGTTTCATGATTTTCGGATTTCGTTTGCATTTTATAGAATTTAAAAACAATTCGTCCGCAAGTTCGTGGTCATGTTTCGTGAACAAGATGTTCAAAATTTCGGGTCCGTTCCTGGATACGGCCTCACACTACACTCAATACCATGAATATCATTTTTTGAATCATTAAATTCCATTATTCGATGCACGTGCAGTTCAAATTTGTATTTTCCGAAAAAATTTAATTAAATGAAATAAATTAACTAAATATAGCAAAAAGCCATAAAAATGTACCAAATTTTAACATGGAGTCTCATGTACTGTAGGAGGACTCGAGAAAAATTTTGGAGTTCAAAAGTGGGAAAAAAATAGTTTGCCGTTATTCTTTGCCGAGTGTCAGGGTCTGGCACTCGGCAAAGAAGTGGTTTGCCGAGTGCCTACCCGCTGGCACTCGGCAAACCTGGACGGCAGGCGGCGGCCGTTACCTGACGCCGCTTTTTGCTGAGCGTCAAGGTTTGTCGAGTGCCTGACAGTCGACAAAAAGAGCCTTTGCCGAGTGTCTGGCTTTGTCGAGTGCCTGACACTCGGCAAAGCCTTCTTTGCCGAGTGTATATCGTTGCCGAGTGCGGTACTCGGCAAAATAGCTCTTTGCCGAGTGCCCGACTTTTAGCCCTCGGCAAAGAAAGTTGTACTCGGCAAAGGCCCTGTTTCCCGTAGTGCTTGTCACCACTTCTCATGGCCCAACTTCACTTGTGGACTAAGTATCTATTCATCTCACATTAAAATCATTAGTCCACCTGATATTATCACTCAATTACCAAAATCAAATTAGGACTTTCGCTAGCTTTTTCTAACAGCTAGTAGCTTCTTCACCCTCTATATAAGTGCTACCCCTGTTTCATTTGAAGCTGCTCTTTAGCCCAAACTAGCTAGCACTTAGAGAGAGAGGTCTGTGAAGCAATTGGAGAGCTATACCCAAACCAAGAAGTGAGATCAAGTGTTAGCTCGGAGTGTTATTGGTGTTCTTGCTTGAGTTTTCTAGAGTTGAAGCTTAATTGAAGACTTGTTACTCTTAGATGGCCTGGAGAAGCACTTGGTGACCTTCCTCGAAGGAGCTATTGTGAGGAGATAATATATACATCGTCATTGAAGTATAGACAACGAAACTTAAAATATAACTCGTCGGAGATAAGAGAGAATATATATAGAGAGAGAATATTCATGCAATGGTTCTCTGAATAAAAGTATAGAGTTTAAAGTTTAGAGTCACCCTTGAACTAGACCTGATCAAATATCGGGTCGAACTAGAAAAAATGGTCAGGTAAATATATTTGTTCTAAGTCTGACCCGATTTTACTGTGGGTCGGTCAGGCAAAATTTATTTTTTTCTACTTTTGGTCGCGTTTTTCGAGCTTCCCCATGAGGTACTTGGGTCTACCTTTGTCTGCGACTCGTCTAAGAAAGGTAGACTTTCAACCTCTTGCGGACAAGGCAGCCGAAAGCTTGGTAGGATGGCGTGGCCGGAACCTCACAAATGCAGGCAGGGTAACTTTGACAAAAATTGTCCTCTCATCGCAACCGGTATATTTTCTCACGGTCACTAATGCTCGTAAGGAGGTTCTACAGACCATTGATGGTTATAGGAAGCGCTTCTTGTGGGCCGGAGATGAGAGCTTAACTGGGGCAAATGCAAAGTTAATTGGCCCACGGTTGGATGACCAACGGATCTTCGTGGCCTTGGGGTTCTAGATCTTGAGAAATTTGCAAGAGCCCTGCAGCTTCGTTGGCTATGGCAAGAGTGGGCATGTCCTGAGAAGCCCTGGGTCGGCTTGGGAAACCCCTGTTCAGACACAGATCGTCTCTTGTTCGCGGCATCCACAACGATATCTATTGGGGACGGGGCAAAGACTTCCTTCTGGCATGCAGCCTGGGTTCAATGTCGGCGTCCTAAGGATATTGCCCATGCTATTTTTGACATCTCGAGGAAGAAATATTGGACAGTGAACGAAGCATTTGATGACCACATATGGACAAAAGGCATCAACCTGCATGCACCAATTACAATTGTCCATCTGAAACAATTTGTAGAGCTATGGTCCATTGTGCACGCAACAGTTCTCCGGCAAGAAACAGAGGACAAAATAACATGGAGGCTCACTGTGTCAGGAGAATACTCATCAAGATCGGCATATCACGCGCAATTCATCGGGTCCACTACCTTCAACCTTAGACAGCTTATTTGGAAGCCTTAGGGTCCACCAAAATGCATTTTTTCTTGGCTCAACATACGCAATCGTGTTTGGACGTCCGATCAACTAGAGGTCCGAGATTGGCCAAGAAATGCTTCCAACACCCTTTGTTGGCATGCACCGGAGACGACGCATCACATCCTTGTTGAATGTCGTTATTCGAGGCGCGTCTGGAGCTATATCGCCAGTTGGCTATCTCTGCCTCACCTTGAGCCACAGGGATGGCTCTCTTCCACCACCGTCAAGGATTGGTGGATGTCCGTTGGGTCTTTGCCTGGGGTCCCTCGGCAGGGCCTCTGCTCTCTCTTACTTCTAGTAAATTGGGAGATTTGGAAAGAGAGGAATTCACGTACTTTTCAGCGGAAAGAGACATTGGCGCTGGACCTCGTCCAAAAGATCAAAGAAGAGGCAAGGACCTGGGGTTTGGCTGGTGCAAAGTTTTTGACCGCCTTGATTGTGGGCGCCTAGTTTCACTCTCTTGTGATTAATATGTGTTGATTAGTGTCTGTTGGCCCCTGTAAATAGCCTGTCAGGGCTCCCTCCTTGTACTCTCCTTCTATATCAATAGAATTGGTGCACAGTCTCGTGGCCATTCCATCAAAAAAAAAGTTAGATTGAGCCATGGGGCGAAAATCATGGCCTCACCCCGACGTTGGGCCAAGCTTTTATTTTTGGACGTGTCAGATCGGCTGGTCAGGTCAGATGGCACGTGAACATATCTATCTTGAATGTATGAGCCGTGAGACAACTAGTTTGGTCACACGTCTCCTCCAGATCGCCTAAAATAGCAACATCGTATCGCAGTACGTAATTTCATACTCTCCTTCCCACCTGCATGCATGCACACATAACCGCTTGACCGACGGTCATCGCAAACAGCAAAGTGATTGGCCGGAGGGACCCACACATTAATAGCTGAAGCATCAAGCGACGGTGGATGCAACGCGCAACCACCTTCGTGCAAGCAACGAGTCGAGTCGAGTCGCGTCACGGACAGTTGTTGCCCGGACATCTCTCTTCACAGCGAGCTATATATATATAGCCGCTGCGACTGCGAGTGAGAGAAACAAGCTAGGTCAACAAGGTGCAAGGCAGTCAATAATGGCGTCTCCTCTGGCCTGCATGGGTCGCGATGGCTATGCTCGCTGCCAGGTCCTGCTGCTGCTCCTGGCGCTGGCGGTGGTGGTGCTTTTGCCGCCGTCGTCTGCAGTCCATGGATCAGGCAGATCCGGTGGGTACGAGGACATCTCGGCCATCTTCATGTTTGGCGACTCCATCGTCGATCCTGGCAACAACAACCACCGGCTGACGGAGGCGAAGGCCAACTTCCCTCCGTACGGGCAGGACTTCCCCGGCCGGGTTGCCACCGGGAGGTTCTCCAATGGTCTTGTCCCCGGAGACCTATTAGGTATGTTGGCGTCGGTCATATAGTGTTTAAATCTTTTCATGCATGATACTTGTTGGCTGGAGGTACTGCATGGAGCGGAAGAGGTTAAAATGGCAAATCTACCAAGAGGACACAGGACGTCGTATAGAGTTATGTGGTGTTTCAGAGGGTGCCTATCATCATCTAATCGCTATATACATGCATGGAGCATACTTAATTAATTAAGTACTCCCTGTTTCAAATTATAATTCGTTTCTGAATTTTCTAGATGCATAGCAATTGCGTATTTATACTAGTTGGAGTCTACATCTAGGTCATAGTGGAAACAATGTACCTAGAAAAAAGTTAGAACGAACTAATGATTTGGAACACAGGGAGTATTTAAGAATATTGTCAAAACTTTAAAAGATGCTCAAACTAACTTTCTAAATGAATGCTATATAATGAGTCTAAGGCTGCATTTGGTGGAGCTCCAGCTCCTTCCTACACTGCAATAAAGAATTATTTTTATTTCTCTTCCTAAAATAAACTAAAATCCAGGCCTGCTTGCTTCAACTTTTTCGCAGCCTAAAACAGCAATTCTACAATGCTAGTAGAGAGGCATTACAGCTGTTCCGGCCACAAATAAGCTAGCATACTTGCAGCCAAACCACTTAAATGAAGTCACTGTTTTTGGCAGGCCATGATAGAAACCTTGGATTATTAGGAACAATTCTTGGATCTCACGATGAGGACGAGCTCGAATGTACTCCTGAAAATATTCCTATCATTCCTATGCTTCGGGAATCGTCTCGTCTGCCTATTATTGGAAGCTTGAACCCATGGTTAGCCTAAAAATAATGTCTTTTCTTCTTGCAATGATTTATTTAAATTAGACTCACCTTTTTATAATCAAGTTCGTTTTGAGAATGTGTTTATAGAAACATGTACCCAAGAAGTCGCAATAGAGAACGAGCACAGCGGCTCTAGCCTGCAACTACTGGGTTTAGGCCAGTACATATATATGAGCCTGGCCCTTAAACTAGTTTGATAAGTTTGTATATTTGTCATTTTTTCTAAAGAAAAAAAATTAATATCAAGAGTGGGCTAGATTCAGAGTGTTGGTTACAGCTTTTCCTGGCTGCGGCTGCAGTTTCTTCAGTTCTCGGTACAGTGAAACATAGGTATAGAGCTGCAGCCACAGCCACGCGTAAGTGCAGCCGAACACATTCATTATTACGAATGGCCATACTGGCGCCCAAGTATGGGACACAGGGCATTAAACATAAGTTATTAGTTATTTGATGAGTCTTCAAATGATTCTAGGAAATATTTGAGAAAAAAAAACAGCAGAAATGTATATATAGGAATATTGTAAGGAACAAAATACCATTCCGCGTTAAGAAAAAAATGTCACGTGTTCCATACTGTCATATCTTATATTAGCATGAATAATTCTGGCTTCTGCAGTCCTGCCGTAGCTCTGTCTTCACCAAACTTTAAACGCATGATAACATGATGCGGAGGAGGTTCGAGATGATATAGCTACTAAAAGCAAATGGGCGGCATTTACTCCCTCCGAAAAGAAACCCAATTTTAAAATAGTAACTATTTTGAGTTAACTGAATTTAGATAAAAAAGTATCAATATATATTATAAAAATAAGCGTCCTGTCATTAGATATATTTAATAGTATACCGTTTTTGTGTTACAAATATTTATACTCTTTTTCTATAAATTCAGTCAAGCTTTAGAAAATTTGGCTAGAGATAGATTTAAAATTGCATCATTTTTCAAATAGAGGTCAGCCAAGAATTATGGCCGCTATGCTTATTTACATGAAATTTCAAAAGGAGGTGTCTAGGGGGATAGGCCTCTTTGGATAAAGACTAGGACAATGCACAAGCCCCCACACCACCAACCTCTTAAAAATCCAAATCATGTCATTGTATCCCACCCTATCCACATGTTCTCTTCTTCTTCCTCACAACCATGCCATCCCCGCCTCCCGCCCTATCGTGGCCGCCTTAGATGTCAACAAGCATCGTCCCATTTTTCCCATCCCTTCCCCCTCCTCCTCCTTCGCCATAACTTGCTTGAATTTGATCCTCAGGCATCTAGCATCGCAGTTCTGGGCTTTAGGCGCCACAACCACAACCACTAAATGTTGTAGTGATGCTGATGAAGACCACTTTTACCTTCCCCTTCCTCGACTTTCGCCGCCTCCACCATCCCCTCCTGATCTGACGACACTATCACCCCTATATTTGTAGCCCTCCACCGTGCCACCATAATGGCTTCGGATCTGATGCTCCACTGACCCTCCCCAATAGGCCTCCAACACCATCATAGCAGCGGCGCTGCCACTGCCCACCACTCCGCCGACACATCATCACCATCTGATCTGGCTGCCTCCTTAGGCATCCCTTTAGACCCAGAAGCCAATGATTCCTTCCCAACCCCAAAACCCAACTATGTAACCCTAACCCTAATCCTAACCCGAGCTAGATTCTTCACTAGAGAAGACAAGATGGTCATAAGAGAAGAAGAGGAGGTTGCCGGAGTTGGAGCTGTTAAAGTTGATCCATCGGATTTTGATTTCATATTTCTTCTTTATTCCCTCCTCTTCATCTCATTTTCTTTCCTTTTCTAGATAATCTTGATTCCGATGGTGATTTGATTTCCATATTTGCCAATAGTACTTTTTGAATACATGTGTGTACAGCACGAACTAGAAAAAAGGAGCTAATAAGGCATCTGTAGTTTTACTTTGATCCTGGAAGCATATGATTGATTTCTTAAATATACATTTTCAGAGTTAGCTCCATTTATATCCTTAATAAAACTTCGTTCTTTCTTATTATATATATTATTTATTATAATTATTTGTGAGCAGCTTCTAAGTTGGGTGTTAAGGAACTACTGCCTCCTTACCTTGCTGACGACCTTCAACCAAATGACCTACTCACCGGTGTGGCCTTTGCTTCTGGAGGCAGTGGATATGATCCACTCACATCTACGTTCTCGGTACCATTTCTTTTCTTTTCACATATCAAGTAATTACAATCTGAAAATAGAATTAATTGTTTCTATGAATAATATCATCACTCCATATCCATAAATCAAGGAATACAAATGCATGTAGACTGCCAGGTCGAGTGCGGAGCAACTTGAATTATTCCATGACTACAAGGAGAAGGTAGCAGCTATTGTTGGAGAGGAGAAGATGACACGTGTTATCTCCAAAGCCATCTTCTTTACAATCATGGGGGCCAATGATATTGTAAATAACTATTTTGCAGTTCCTTTAAGACGCCATGAATATGACCTTCCTTCTTATATTGACTTTCTTGTCTCTTCGGCTATCAACTTCACAATGGTAATTGCTACGATTTTGAATATCTAAATTCTTTGAGAATGAGTTATATGAAACTTTTTAATATGTCTTTTCTATGTTCCATTGTCTCTATATTCATAAAAGCTTCATCACACTTTGACAATTTATTTGTGCATTTAGACATTTTTTAATTCCCTTATGTTTTCAGTAGAATTTATCCCTGCATGCACTACACATGTTTTTATTACAACATGAACTGTGCTACACAAAACATGCAAAACATAGACTTTTTTAATCTTTGGCAAACAAAAGATTATATTTAATTTATAAGTTCAATGTGGCATGCAATTATATTAGTAATAAAATCCATTTTCTCAGTACACAAACGTTCATGCTCCATTTCTGTACAGACTCTGAACAATATGGGAGCTAAGAAAATTGGAGTTGTTGGTGTTCCACCATTAGGCTGCTGTCCTTCTCAAATAATACTTGGAGGAAGTCCATCAAGGGAATGCGAGCCACTAAGGAATCAAGCATCAGTATTATTTAATTCAAAGATCTCAAAGGAAATAGATCGACTAAATGCAGAATGGAATGGTTATGGGTCAAAGTTTGTTTATATTGATATATACTACAATTTACTTGACCTTATTCAGAATCCAGTTTTTTATGGTGAGTTTTATGTTTTCATTTGTTTTAATAACATGATATTCTTGCATTTACAATTTTAAATTATAAATTTAGACAACAAATCTTCTAATTGGCATACCATCTAAAAATTGACCGCTAAAAGGATGTAGATACTTTTAGGTGAAGGAAGGTTTATTCTAACATGAAATAAGGTTCTACTCTTTGTATTAAGTAGGTACACGCACTTAGTTTAGCTGGAGAATATATGACAAATAATAATCTTTGCAGTTGCATGATCTATGTAATAAAAATCATGTGTAATATGATGATAGTTGGTCTTTTCTCTTCTTCCTAAAGAGATGTTATTTGACATATTGTCATTAGAATCATTTCTGTACTGAATATTGTGTCACAATTATGTAGGTTTCAAGGAGGTCAAAGAAGGTTGTTGTGGTAGCACAGTGTTAAGTGCTGCGGTATTCATTGCATATCACAATGCATGTCCAAATGCACTCGATTATATTTTCTGGGACGGCTTCCATCCTACCGAGAAGGCCTACAACATTGTAGTTGACAAGCTCATCCAACAGAATAGGAAGTACCTACTGTGAGGAAAAGGTCTTTGTATACGACTACTACAGAATTGTAATTGCACACTGTCAACATTGTTCTATTAATCGAATGTTTGATGTCAGGTTTGACACTATTAAAACATTGTTCTCACTTGCGTATTTTCTCTATGATGTTTAAGCTTCCATGTCCTTTGGTTGGTAGATCCGTTAGGGTCTGGATCTAACCGTGCATTCTAACAGTAACATCGCCTTAGGCCCCGATGACAAATCCCACCGCCACTTCCCCAGGCGCTGACCATTAACCTGGAATTTCTGCATGTACCCCGACATGACTAACAACGCATCCATCCAGACACCACCAAGAGACGACCAACGATCACCGGACTAAGACTAACAAACCTAGCTATTGTCGACTGCACCACCACGGAGATTAGGCAGTATGCACTCTCAAGTGATCCTGGGGGAAAGTGGAGACGAGCAACACAATGGCAGATCGGGGGTCACCGGGCTAAGACTAACAAACCATGGCTATTGTCAACTTCACCACCAAGGAGATTAAGCAGTATGCACCATGCCAGTAGAGGCGACAGATCAGTGGCTAGGGCGCGTAATCTATTCCCAGCGCCCTGAGCGAGCACTAAAGTCAAGACCACCATAACACCTAAGGGAGAGAAGGGTTCTCTAGGCGAGGATAAAATCCGCCTTGCCACCATATCACCGCCAAATAGATTTGTTTACCGACTGAGGGCTTAGGTGCATAGTTATTACACTACCGGATACAGGATCTTTGCCGAGTGCCAGGGGCACTCGGCGAAGCCTCAAAAACACTCGGCAAAGGGTTTGCCGAGTGTTACACTCAGCAAACGACACTCGGTAAACGTTTTGACGGCAAACGCTAGTTTGCCGAGTGTTTTTTGTCGCACACTCGGCAAAGACGTTGCCGAGTGCCCAAAAAACACTCGGCAAATTTTTTTTCAGAAAAAATAAAAAAAAAACAAATCGCCGTCTTCTCCTCGCCGCACTGCCACCACGCCGCACCACCACCACGCCGCGCCACCACGCCGGGGCCGCATCTGGTGGAGGCGGTGGAGGAGCGCCGCCGGGAAAGGGAGAGGCAGGGGGAGCGCTACCATGCTGAGAGAGGAAGGGGGAGGGCGCCACCGCCGGGAAAGGGAGGGGGAGGGTGCCACCGCGCTGGGAGAGGGAGAGGGTAGGTCGCCGCCACACCGGGAGAGGAGGGCCGCGCGCTAGATCCATCCGCCCGCACTGGGGCCGGATCCGGCCTCCCCGTGCGCCACCATCGCCGGATCCGCCCAGCGTCGGGGCCGGATCTGGGGAGGCGGTGGAGGGGAGGAGGTGCTCCGCCGCATAGGGAGAGGCAGGGGGAGCACCGCCGCGCTGGGAGAGGAGGGCCGCGCGCCATCCGTCCGCCCGCGCCGAGGTTGGATCCGGCCTCCCCGTGCGCCACCGTCGCTAGATCCGCCCGCGCTGAGGCCGGATCTGGTGGAGGCGGTGGAGGAGGGAGGGAGGTGCGCCACCACGCAGGGAGAGGCAGGGGGAGCGCCGCCATGCCGGGAGAGGAAGGAGGGAGGGTGGGCCGCGCCGGCGAGGGAGGAGGGGAGGGCAGGCTGCGTCGGCGCCGAAGAGGGAGGAGGGGAGGGCGGGGCCGCGCCGGCGCCGAGAGGGAGGAGGGGGCGGCGCGTGCGCGTGCGCGGGGAGGGGCGGAGAAGGGGAGGGGGCGTGCGGACGCGGCGCGGGGAGAAAGGGGGAGGGTGCTATGCGGGGAGAAGGGTAGGGCGCGTCTGCTGGGGGTTAAAAAAAGAATTTTTTTGGTTTGCCGAGTGTCCCAGATCTGGGCACTCGGCAAAGTTTTTTTTCATTTTTTTTCTTCTCCTTTTTTTCCAGAAAATATTTTTTTCCTTTGCCGAGTGTCCTAGATCTGGGCACTTGGCAAAGTTTTTTTTATTTTTTTTCTTCTCCTTGTTTCCCAGAAAAAATATTTTTATTTCTTTGTCGAGTGTCCTGGATCTGGGCACTCGGTAAAGTTTTTTTTTCATTTTTTTTCTTCTCCTTCTTTCCCGGAAAAAGATTTTACTTCTTTGTCGAGTGTCAAAAAAAACTCGGTAAACCCCATCTTTGCCGACCGTGTTTTTTTTACACTCGGCAAACCTTCTCTTTACCGAGTGTTTTTTTTTTGCCGAGTGTTTTTAGCGCAGCACTCGGCAAAAAACTTGTTTGCCGAGTGTCCGAAAGAATACACTCGGCAAACATAAAAACACTCGGCAAATTTGACGTTTCCGGTAGTGTTAGAAATAGGCCAAATTGGTGGTCCGACTAGAAAAAATCGAAACCAGAACGACAGAACCCCAATCGTTCGATTCACTTAAAAGATCGATATACAATCAAACTACCAATAGACCGATGGAACCACCGTTTTTTTCCTCAAAAACCAATAAAAAACACCCCAATGAGTTGCTAACAAACCGAACATGACGCGCTGAGCGGAGCAAGTCATGCGTGGGAAGTGAAAATACACAAAAAAAAGGTAGGCCACCAAGTGCAAAGAAGAGTTCCCACCATTGAGCTACACAATCTTTTGTGTTTTGCATACATGTATTATTATTAGTAAAGGCTTTGAGCGGGCGGTTCAACGGTTTGAACCAATCAAACTGTAAATTGAGATCTCAACCAGTTTGATATCTAGTCCGGTCCTAATAACTATGCTTAGGTGGCGGCAATGAGCACGAACCAAATGGGGCAACAGGGTTGGACAGTGTCTAGGCTATATTTTCTCTAGCTCGACAGCTATCTTCTAGATTCAAACTAGCACTAAATCTATGTGCTAGTGACAAACATTTTGTTAGGCACTTTGGTGCATAAGTAACAATGGGGTGTTGAAGTATGAAGTTTTAAATAGCGGGCTAAGCCTTTTAGTGTCGGTCTCCTCCAAAAGCTATAAAAAAACTATAGTAAGCTATAGCAGGAACTATTTCATTTACACTGTGTTTGGATGTAGATATTCAACCACGGAATTTGGAGTTGGAGTTGGCTACCACTGAATGCAGCTGATTGGATGGTTTGGAATTCGAAAGTGGAAATCAAGTTCAATACGAACCGGTATTCGCAGCACCTCCATGCCTTGTTCCTCAATACGAAGCCTCACCCCAAAGTCCACGGGAGGACATGGACTGAGCTCCTCCGTCTTTCACACCAGCGATTGAGCTTCTTCGCTCTAGTCCTGCTCCGTCTCCGACGTCGAAGAACCAAGCTCTTCCATATCTTCCACCCTCGTCTTTGAAGTTAGCAAACCGAGCTCCTCCGTCTCTATCGATCTGCCAGTGGTAGACGTCGATCCGGTGGTCTCCTCCTCCTTCAGCTCCAGTGTGCCGTCGAGGGGCCTAGCTCCTCCCTGTTGTGGCCTCCATCATCGCACTCTGCCCGAGCTCCACCCCGCCATGGCCTCAATTGAGCTCCACCTAGCTCCAACCTACCAAGGCCATCATAGAGGTGCCCAACTACTCCCCGCCATGGCCTCCATCACGCTCTGCCCGAGCTCTGCCCAGCTCTGACCCGCCATGGCCACCGTCGAGGGGACTCCACCCCGCCATGGCCATCGCTAGGCATCGCCCTACCATAGCCGCCGTTGACCTCGCCCGAGCTATGCCCAACTCCACCCGCCACAGAGATCCTCGGGCGTGTGAGAGAGGAGAGGATTTTCAAGTCCATGCTTTTGCATCAAACTGGAAATGGATTTGACCTACTTCATATAATTCCAAAAGTTGATTCAATGGCCATCCAAACAACAATATTTGAATTGGGGCTATTCCAATACTATGGATAATTTTGTATCGAACCCAATTCAATTCTACGGTCTCCAATGTCTACATCCAAACGAACCTTTAGAGATCTTAATTACTTAAGCACAGAAAACATGTAATTAAGAAAAATTCATGAACATATATATACTCAAATACATATACAGGGCTCTTGAAGAACATTCTCCTAATCCATTTTTTAGTATTCATTCCACATTCATCAACAATCAATAATTAGTCTATCGTCCATTACCTCATTTTTTAAGTAAAGAATTACCTTGATCAACATTAACAGCGCTAAAATTATTTTGCGGTCAGCCCGTCTTTCGTGTTTCGCCTTTCACATGGGGCGTGGCTCGAAGAAAATCTTTTCCCTGACACGACTTCAAGATTTTAGCAGGGGCCGTCAGTCTGTCACGGCCTGATTTCCAATTTTCGCTTCACGAGCCTCTTTTCACTTCCCCGAGACACGTCCTGATTTCCAATAATCCAATCTCCTACAACTAAAAAGAACAAAAGTAAGACAATTTTTTTGTGCGGCTTTTTTTGGGGGTCGCCCGTCTGCCTCCCCGTGCGATACCGCGACTTCATCCGGTGCTGCCCCGCTGCGATACCTCCCCCACACGTCGTTTTTTTTTCGAAAAAATGTGCTTGCCTAACGCCTCTCCTGCCCGCTCCCTGCTTCTCGTGCCCTCGCCCACCCACGCCCCAACCGACTCCTCCGTTGCGGGGCACGCCGCCGGTGGACGTGAGGCCACGGTGGGACGCGCCTCCTCTGGGAGTCCCGCCCGCGCCTCCACCTGACTCCTCGGCCTTTCTGTAACCCTAGCCGCCGCCGGTTGATGCGAGGCCACTGCGGGGCACGCCGCCTCTAGGCGTCGGGATGCCACGGCGGACGGGGCGACAACGGGCGACGCGAGGCCACGGTGGGGCGCCCCACCTCTAGGCATCGAGAGGCCACAGCGAACGGGGAGCGAAGTCGGGCGGGCCGCCATCATTGCTGCCAGTGGTGCGAAGGCTACGCAATCCCTTTCTCCCTCTTATCCCCAAGGCGACGAACGAAGCGGATAGGAGAGGAGAGCCCTTCTAGTGCTGTTCTTGTTTCCCTGCTTTCTAAGATGTCATCCTCGAGCAAGCACCGCGAGATGGACCTCATGAAGCTGTGATGATCTGGACCTCTTGGTTTGTTTTCCAATTTTTGTTCTAGTTGTTTTTTTATCTGGC